TATTGTTAGGATGTATTAATAAAGTATAATAGACAGACTATAAAAGCATGATTTTTATTATTTATGTGCATTTGGGAAAGTGTTTTATCCTGTTACATAGGGAGAGCACAGCATCAGCTTGGCAGTGTGAAATTCCTTGAGGTTTATGAACTAGGCAGGCCTTTTCTTGTCTTGGCCAACTAGACGTGAAAACTTGGAAGAGTCACTTCTCTGAATCTCTTTTGCATGTGGAAAATTGGCCCATTTACTAATACAATATGTAAATGATACTTTCAGACTTTATGAATGTACTATACAAATTAAAGAAAATAGGTAAATGCTAGTAGAGTACTAGACATGGTGTGTGTTCTTTCCTAGCTCATTATTAGTAGTTTATTGAATTTATTAAGAGTCAGTACTTACTTTGTGGTGATGGTGGTGGTGGTTGTGGTGGTCATGGTGCGTGTATGTGTGTGGTATAAGTATTACTAAACCTGGACTCTAGCTACTTGCTACATTATGAACTACTTTCCTTTTAGCTTAAATGAATACATATATTTAAAGGTATATTTTATTTAAGTCAAAATTGAAACTTCCAGCACCTTTCCCACAATATGGTTCAAAACTACTGACCTCACCGTCAGATGTCATATTTGATTATGTTATAGTTAGTGCAACCGTGATAATATATTCTTAGAAAATATACCATGATTTGTGGTCTTAAAAATAATAATACTCAGGCCAGCAAGATAGCTCAGTGGAGGGCTGGGGAGATGGCTCAGTGGAATAAGTGCTTCCCTGGCAGGCACAAGGACCTGAGTTAAATCCCCGGTTCCGCAAGAAAAAAAAAAAAAAAAAGCTCAGTGGACTAAGCGCCTGCTTAGACAAGTACAGGGACCCGGGTTAGATTCCAGGTACCATATGCCAAGTTGGCCCTGCCCCTGGGTGTGCTGAACCAGAGACCAAATCAAGGCATGGTGGTGTGCGCCTGTAATCCTAGCACTGGAAAGATTGAAAACAGGAGGATCACTGTGAGTCCAAGCTGCGCAGTGAGACCCTGTACCAAGTACATTAAAAACTAAATATTATGATAATAACAATAGTACCCTCATAGTATTATTATAGAGTGCACTGAGATAATCTGAACCCTCTAGCATTATACCTAACTCTAAAATTATTAAACAAAAAGCATACTAGAATATATATTTAATTCATATCAATATATAATTTCCACATGTTGTTAAGTTTAATAAAATCTTAAAATATTTCAAAACAACTGGAGTCTAATAGCTTCATGGGGGGAGTCAGGAGGAAGAACATAGAAAGTGAATAAAGTGAATGTAAGAAAGTGAATGAAGTGTAATAAATACATGTACCAATTCCTCAGCTCAAAGGAAAGAAACAATGGGTTGAAAAAAGGACAAAAGACAGAGAGAAGGAAGGGAAAAGATGTATTCATGTATATATACAGGATAGCTTGGATAATTGTACTGCTGATTTTTGCTGGTCTATTGAAAGAAGTTAATGCTTAATTTTTTCTTCTTCTTTTTAATCCCTTACAACTTTTTTTTTACCAGTTCTGCATGCTTATATGTGATAACCTAAACAATTAATTTGAAAACAATATTATGCTATGTAACAACCATTGTTGAATTCCTATTATTTTGCTTAGTGAAATTCTGTATCATTCCTAATGTTTTTACTATGTATTTGTTATGTGTCACAAACATATTCTAATAAAACCTTTCAAAATAATAAGCTTATACTCTTAAGCTTAAAAATGGTTTTCATGAAGAAATAAAATAATTTAATGCCCTACTATATTTTTCCCTTTCTGGAATGCATGGAACCATGATAGTTTTAGCCATGTGGGAAGGTATTATTGAGTTTATACAATAAAATGACATTTGATTCAATAGTTTAACTCAGAATTGGATATAGAAGAAATTTTAAACAGTCAGGATAGACCTTGAAGGTATCTTCAGTCACCTGTTAGGTACACTGAACAGGTAAGTTTCTTGCTTAAATTTCATAATTCAAATAGTTGAAGAAACACTTTCTTTTTTGTTTGTTTTTTAAAGAGAATAAACATGGTAAAAAAAAATTAGGAATGATATAGAATTTCACTAAACAGAATAATAGGAATTCAACAATGGTTGTTACATTGCATAATATTGTTTTCAAATTAGTTGTTTAGATTACCACATATAAGTATGCAGAACTGGTAAAAAAAAAAGGAGAAGAAAAAAATGAACATTAACTTCTCTCAAAAGATCAGCAAAAATGAACAATACAATCATCCAAGCTATCCTGTATATATACATAAATACATTTTTCCCTTCCTTCTCTCTGTCTTTTGTCCTTTTTTTATCCCACTTGTTTCTTTCCTTAAAGCAGATTCATTCCTTTTCACAGTATCTATTGGACCTTTCAGATTTTATTTATTCTTTTAGGTTCTTACACTAATGAGACAATATGATGTTTGCACATGCAGGTCTGATTTATTTCACTTATGAGTACGGTGTCTAGTTGCATTCATTTATCTATAAAAACCTTGAGTTTATCTTTTTCTACAGATGCATAATATTCCACTGTGTAAAAATACATCTTTTTTACTATTCCTCAACTGATTGACTTTTGGGTTGTTTCCAACATTTAGCTACAACAAATTGTGCTGCTATAAACATGGAAAACACTTTAGTTCAGTGCATATGGCCAAGAACAAAATTTTCCACAACCTTATTAGCTAGGATTTCTAATTGTTCAATTGTTACACACACACACACACAAAAAAAAAAAAATTGCTCAGAAACTATTAGTCTTAAAGTCATACCAGGTTTTCACTATCTCAAATATTCTCTCACCTTTTGCAGGTCAGCTATGTGAAGAAAATATAGATGAGTGTAGTTCCAGTCCTTGCTTAAATAAAGGAACTTGTGTTGACAGTGTGGGAGGTTATCGCTGCACCTGTATGAAAGGATATATTGGTAAGACATTTCCTTTCTTCCTCTATTGTCTTAGAATATTATAAAGCAATAAAAATCTGCACATTCACAAATATAAACTATAGCTGTTGTTTTATTACTTTTTTACCATACTGCAAGAAGGTAAAAGCAAAAAATCTCCTTGCTTTGAGGAAGTATACACTGAATAAAATGTGCAATTTGCTCTTAAACTGTATAGCAAAAGGCAGTATTCTGGGCTGGAGAGATGGCTCAGTGGTCTAAAGCACCTACTTAGAACAAGCTTAGCTAAAGCATCGGGGACCGCGGTTCAATCCCCCAGCACCACATGCCAGCCA